ATTATTATTTATATTCATTGTGCGATTTTATACATGAGCCATTGTGATTAGTGTTTTTTTTGTTGTTGGTTAAATATTATTATAATTATTATCTCAAGTTCCTTTCTTCAAAACTGCATTTGTTCATAAACCAATCTAGTCTCTAAATCAGGTTAACAGTGGCTCAGTGTTTTGTATAATTTATTTGTATATAATATTGTTCATATTGTACTTGTCACTGGTCACATTCAACAAGTCATCTAGTCAACTTCAATCAAGTCAACTGAATTCATCATGATGGACAATGATGCCCGTGAATTGCGCAGATTGAACAGACAGAAAGAAAGGATCCAAGCTAGTGTACAATTAATTAAAAAATATGTGGAAAAATTTGACCCAAGTTCTCAATCCATCAAGCAGATTCAAATTCGATTAGACAAACTAATAACACATATTAATGCATTTGATGAAATTCATAACGAGCTGCTTAATTGTGAAGAAGCTACTGACAACATTGATGAACAATTAAAGTTTGTGGATGAAACCTGCACACTAAGAGCAGACATGGAAGACTTGATCAGCAAGTTCAGTGCTCCGGAAGTTGATAATTCGCTTCGTGTGTCACATTCTTCAGCAAGTGATGCAATCAGGTTGCCTACAATCCAGCCTCCAACATTTAGTGGACATTTGGAGGACTGGTCATCTTTCTTTGATACATTCAATGCACTATTTCATAACAATGTTTCATTGACTGATGTTCAAAGGCTCCATTACTTAAAGTCTAGTGTTCTGGGTCCTGCTGCCGACATAATTAAAAACTTCACGATAACAGCTGACAACTACAAAGTGGCGTATGAAGAATTAGTTCGTCATTATGAAAACAAAGGGTTTACTATTCAAAGTCACATAAGATCATTATTACAAACACCTAAGATAACTATTGCATCAGCCAGCGAACTTCGAAAACTTCACCACCATGTAGCTTCACACGTACGAGCATTAAGAGCGTTGGGTCAACCTGTCATGCATTGGGATGCTTGGTTAGTCACCCTAATTTGCGGACAACTGGACTCCAGTACTGCTGGGGAATGGCAACTGAGGCAAGATAGCAAGGACCTTCCAACATATGAGCAAATTGAAACATTCTTGGCTAAAAGAATATTTGCATTTGAGGCAGGTGCTGTCACGAGTGTTGGTGCTCCGGAAAAGCAACATCATGTCAAAACCCCTCAAAACAATAACAAATTTCTTCCCACACGACAGAATCATAACAACAAAGTCTTTTTTACTCGCTCAGCTGAAGATAAAGTTCTCAAATGTCCTGTCTGCACACAACCACACAAAATTTATTCCTGTAACACCTTCTTGAAAATGTCAATTGCTGATCGAAAAAATGCTGTTGCTGTTGCAAAATTATGTTACAATTGCCTGAACTATGGACATCAAATTAAAGATTGTCGTTTATCGTCATGCCCAAAATGTAATAAGCGACATAATTCAAAGCTTCACGAGGATACTCCACCTAACCACACACTGAATGAACCAAACTGCACTGAATCAACCATGGTTGGAAGCACACCTAGTTCAGTATTATTCTCAGGCACTACTAATAACGTCCAAAGTTCAGATGTCAACTTCAACATTATGCTATCCACATCAATAATTAAAGTCCAAGATCAAGCTGGAAATTGGCATAATTGCAGAGCTATTTCAGACTCAGGGTCTCAACTTAACTTCATTACTCACGAATGTGCTAAAAAATTAAAATTACAATCATATGACAACACACAGCAACCTATTACTGGTATTGGTTCCATAAGTTCATCAGCTACACAATCATTCTCAGCGTCAATCTCTTCTCGGTTCTGCGAACATCATTTAACTGCTGTCCTACATTCCTTACCTACCATAGTAAATGTGTTACCTTCTCATAGGATTCAACAGAGTAACTTAATACTACCAAGACACATCAAGGACAAATTGGCTGATCCAAATTTCTATGAACCAAACAGCATTGATATATTACTTGGATCAGAAATATTTTTTGACATTTTGGGGAATGAAAAATGGCCTCTCACAGAGTCTGCTTCGCTACGTGGCACAGACTTCGGTTGGATAGTTGTGGGAAAATTGCCTATCGAGTTCAACCAAGTTGAGCATACACCACCATCCATAGCTACAAATTCATCACTATCTTTGTTTACTTCGGTTGCTGCTCAGCAAACAGTTGATGAAAAAAAGGCTGAAGCACATTTTTTATCAACCATATCACGAGATGAAAATGGCAGATTTGTAGTGAGGCTACCATTTGCACAGAACCCACAATCTTTAGGTGATTCGCGAAGCACGGCTCAAAGGCGATTTTTAAATTTAGAAAAGCGCTTTGCAAAGGAACCAGGTCTCGCAGACGAATATAATGCATTCATGACAGAGTACCTTAATATGGATCATATGGAAATAGCTACAACCACAGTCAATCCATGCTACTACCTACCTCATCATGCAGTGTTGAAATCTAACAGCACTACTACCAAACTTAGGGTGGTGTTTGATGGGTCATCTGCATCAAAATCAGGATTATCATTAAACGACATCTTATTAAAAGGGCCAAAATCCCAACCTGACATTATCAGCATATTATTACGATTCCGTGTCCACAATATTGCGCTCACAGCAGACGTGGAAAAGATGTACAGACAGGTGCGCATGGCAGCTGAAGACTGTGACTTTCAACGCATATGTTATCGCGCAAATCCTCATGATCAATTGACCGAATATAAGCTGAAGACTGTAACATACGGTACCAAGTCAGCGTCATTCTTAGCAACCAGATGTCTCACTAAAATTGCTGATGAAGTAGATGATGTCTCAATTAAGCGGATCATTTCTCAGGATTTCTATGTGGACGACCTGATAAGTGGTGGGGAGTCAATAGAGGCAGTGCATCAGATATATAATCAGCTTCATTCTACTCTGATGCAGTATGGATTTCCACTTAGGAAGTGGTGCTCAAGTGCTCGTGAACTCTTTGATCTCATACCACAGCAACAAAGCGACAGTAATTTTTTCATAAACATGAGTGAAGATGACACAATAGGCACATTAGGTCTTTTGTGGCAACCAGCATCAGATAGTTTTTTATTCATGGTTAAACAATGGTGTCCACAAGCCAGAATGACAAAACGAACTCTCTTATCTGATATTAGCAAGGTGTTTGATCCAATTGGCCTGGTGTCTCCCGTGCTAATTAGAGGAAAGATTTTTTTGCAACAACTATGGTCATTAAAAATCAGCTGGGATGAACTACTTTCCGAAGATTTGAGCAATCGGTGGATAAAATTTTATACAAGTTTGCAATGTTTAAATCAAGTCGTTGTTCCTAGGAAAGCAATGATTTCAACTTCATCAAACATCCAACTTCATGCCTTCAGTGATGCTTCCCAAGAGGCATTCGGAGCTTGTGTTTATATGCGTTCAATGAAGTGTGATGGCAGTATGGAGGTTCACTTATACACATCAAAGTCTAGGGTAGCACCTATGAAGCCATCAACTATTCCCAGACTGGAATTATGCGGAGCATTGTTAGCAGCCGAACTAGCCAATGACACACTAGCTGAACTCAAGGCATTAAACATAATTGTAGCACCCAGCAATGTATATTTATGGTCAGACTCTTCGATAGTAATTGCATGGCTGCAGAGCAAATCTTTATTTTCGGCTTATATTTCAAACAGACTTGCTCGAATCCTTGACGTTTCTTCTCCTAACCAATGGCATCATGTGCCAACAAAGGAAAATCCGGCTGACTTAATTTCACGGGGAATTGATGCTGCATCCATTGCACAGTCAAAATTGTGGTGGCATGGACCACATTGGCTGATACAAAGTCAATCTACCTGGCCTAATAGTTATCAATCACCAGATACACTTCCTGAACTTCGTACAGTAAAGCTAGTCCTTACAGCATCAGATGGGTCTTCGCCATGGTTGCTAGAAAAATACTCAAGTTGGTCAAAATTGCTCAGGGTGACAGCTTTAGTACAGCGCTTCATCAATAACTGTAAGCTTTCACATTTAAAAAACCGTGAAAAATGTACAATTGGGTTTTTAAGCATCACAGAAACAGCACAGGCTGAACGATTATGGGTGGGCAAGGCTCAAGTCAACGCATTCGAAGATGAATTGTCTCGTCTAAAGGCAAACAAGATGGTACGTCGCAGTAGTGCACTAATAAGACTAAGTCCATTTATCGATAAACATGGATTGATACGAGTAGGTGGTCGCCTGATGAACGCATCCATAAGTCATGATTCAAAGTATCCAATTTTACTGCCTTCTAAAAGCATAGTCACAAAGTTAATATTTAATTATGAACATCGCCGCTTAATGCATGCTGGTCCTCAGGCATTGCTTGCCCATGTATCACACAAATACTGGCCCCTTCGAGGCAGAGAAATAGCCAGAAAAACAGTACATCATTGCATACAATGTTTTCGTACAAAACCTACGTTTTCTTCACCTTTGATGGCCCCACTACCTCGTGAAAGAGTCACTATAAGTCGTGCATTTTCAAAGACAGGAGTGGACTATTGTGGCCCTATCATGGTGAGAAGTGGGCTTAGAAAGGTCACTCCAATAAAAACCTATATATGTGTTTTTGTATGTATGGTGACCAGAGCTATCCACTTAGAGTTGGTTTCCTCACTAGCCGCTGAAGACTTTCTTGCCACACTTTCCCGCTTCATGGCTCGGCGAGGACAAGTCTCGGTTCTTTATAGTGACAATGGCACAAACTTCGTGGGTGCCAACCGAATATTACAATCACAATTCAAGGCACACGTTAAAGACAAATCAGTAAACAATTTTTTAAACAGTAACGCAATCCAGTGGAAGTTCATACCACCAGCTGCGCCTCACTTCGGAGGCCTATGGGAAGCTTCAGTCCAATCTGCAAAGCGGCATCTGTATCGAGTTTCAAAAGGTATACTTTTAACTTATGATGAAACTACAACGTTACTATGCAAGGTAGAAGCCGCATTAAATTCAAGGCCATTAACACCCATGTCTTTGGAACCGTCCGATTTAAGTGTATTGACACCTGGGCATTTTCTAGTTGGTGGTCCTTTAATGTTGCCCCCAGAACCTGACAATTCAACAGTTCCTAAAAATCGATTGCGCAGGTTTAATCTAATGCAGGCACAATTTCAACTATTTTGGAAAAGATGGCTATCAGAATATTTGCCCCAATGTCAGAGGAAAGGAAAATGGTTAAAAAGGACTCGAAATGCAGTAGTAGGTGACATTGCAATCCTAAAAAATGAATTACTGCCACCTTTACAGTGGCCCTTAGTCCGTATAACAGAAATTCATCCAGGTCAAGACGGCATTGTTCGAGCAGTAACTGTGCGTAATTCAGCGGGTCAATCATTCATCCGTCCAGTGGTGAAGCTTGCGTTCCTACCAACATCTGAAGATGAGGATCAGGATACAACTAGCTAGTCATTCTTATTGTAAATTTTTTTTTTTTGTTCTAAAATTATTATTATCATGTTCTTTATTCACAGTACTTCCTTGATAGGCTTTTTTTTTTCTTTAAGTCAGTGTATTTTCTTATTATATATATATATATATATATATATATATATACTCTTATAATGTTTTGTGTTGTGTTGAAAGGCTATATCCTTTCAAAGGGGGGTATATGTTCGCGCTGTGTGATATCGGTTCGCATCGTACGACACCGCGGTGC